TTCGGTACTTCCCTTGCCGTTTTTGGTCCGTCTTGGGGTTTCGGTCATCCTTCCGTTTCGGGTGTGGGCAGGGACCCACCCTGAGTATCGAACCTTATGGTCCCTTTTCTTTCATTAGGTTGGTACAACTTGCCTTTTTTTGTTCTTAAACTGGATTTTACTCAATTTTTGCATCATTTGTTGACGGATTCGCTTTATCTGATCGTCCTCGACCCCATGGTTATGCTGACGGACTGCATTCTGTACGTATGAATCCTGTTCCTTCCTTACATGGAAATTATTCTCAAAGATCCTTTCAGTCGTGGTCCTAACAGAGCCTTTTATCCTCCAGTTGGATTCGAACTCGCAACCTTGCGACTGTGACCTGGGAGCACTAACCACTTGCACTATCGACCCGCAGGTCCTCATTACTATATTTTGTTGTTGTTTTACAATTTAAACATTTAATTATAAGTTTAATTGCTAATCTATTTACTGTTATTGAAGGTTTTTTATTAGTAACTTCAATAGTATAACAAATAGGACATGGTTGGTTTAGTATTAATGTTAAATATATGTTTGTATTTACGAATATTGTTGATCCTAATTTTTCATTTTTAATTAAATTGTTAATCATTAGTTGAATTGTATTAGTAGAAGAAATATTAGAGCTTTCATAATAATTTTCATTTTCTTTGCTATTAGTTTCTTCACTATATAAAATTATGAGTTAATATATAATATTTTAAATAAATATATAATAATATAATTTATCTTTCAGAATTTAAGTAAGAACATAATTTGGTATTTAATTTTTGAATAGTTTCTAATGATCGATGTAATTTTTTTTTGGTATTTTTTAATTCATTGCGTACTTCTTAAAGTTGAATTCCTAATGCTTGAGTAACTGAACTAGAAGTATTTTAGCCTTCAGCTTTTATTGGAAGCCTAGCTTGAATATCTTCACTATCTTCTAGTTTACGTGCTTTACATTTAGCTGAATTAATTATTGTAATACATTTTTTTTCTGCAGTAAATAATTTTTTGGCATGTTCAAATAAGTTTGAATAAGTATTATTAACATATCCCCGTAGCCATTCTACATTTTCTTTACAATTAAATCCAAGAACACATGTCATTGATAATATACCTTTATATTTAATTGGAGCTGATTGCAAATGATTTCGCAAACTATTTAAATTATCTGGTAAAGATTGAGATTTTTGTTCAGTCATAAATTTTCAATCGTTTCAATAATCTACCCATTTATAAAAAATTAATTGTTGAGCTTCATTCCACTCAAGACTTATTTTTAAATAAACACCATAATATGTATATATTGTATAACCAGGAATTAAAGGTACATAAACTTTTTTATTTAAATCAGGTTTGATACCATTAACTGTTAACAGTTGATATAAACTTGATTGTTTATTTGTTTCATTATGATTATTAGGAAGCGTTGCATATTGTGATAATAATTGCAGATATTGTGATTGTTCACTAATAAAATAATTTCTTGTTTATCATATATATTTTATTCGATTACCATTAAGCTCTAAAAGTCTTTGAATCCATTCGCAATTGCCCTATAGTTAGACATTAAATGAACAACTGATACTATTTTTAGACACTAATAATATATAATACAATAATTTTTGAAATAGATTACAAAGTTTTTCTTAACAAACATCTTAATTTTTATTCATACCATATTAAATACATGTAATATTTTGTAAAAAATGAGTTAAAATCGTTGATTTTGAACAATACTATAAAATGAAACAATAATTAGCATCAGGTGTTGAGAATTAGCAAGTTCTTTGTATATTAATATATAAACAAACTTGAAAGAATACTAACTAACTAGTGCTAAAATAGCTTTAAAATATACAGTAAGTTCTTTAACACAATTTATAAAAGTTTTTTTTATATACTTTGGTTGTTTCTTATTACTAAGTAAGAATTTAACGATTTTATCAAATATTGGACTATGATCAACATTAATATATATATTGTATAACCTTACCAAAAAGACTCTACCCTTAAATGATCACTTAAAGTACTTGTTTTACTGTTATCAAGGCTATATGATAAGAGAAATTGTATATTAAATTGATCA